TCCGGTGGTATCCGGGCGGTATCCGGCGGTATCCGGGTGGTATCCGGCGGTATCCGGGTGGTATCCGGTGGTATCCGGGCGGTATCCGGGCGGTATCCGTTGGTATCCGGGTGGTATCCGGTGGTATCCGGTCGTATCTGGGTGGTATCCGGTGGTATCTGGGTTTCCGATTTTGGATGTTTTGATTTTGTACCTTAGAGAGGTATTAACCTGTTCTTTGTTTGGCGGCATTCCGCCTATATGGCTGTTCTTTTGTGGCGGCGTTCCGCCTTTATGATTGTTCTTTAAGTTTGGCGGCATTCCGCTTATATATGTATATAAATAAATATAAATGACCGTTCTTTGATTGTTTGTTTGTTTGGCGGCATTCCGCCTTGTTGCGGTTTGTTCGTTTGGCGGCATTCCGCCCACATCACAACACGGACACACACACACATTTTGGCGGTATTCCGCCCACACACATACATTGATGCGGAATGCCGCACGCATAGAAACATTAGGCGGTAGTCATTTTTCTAAGGTTTTTGTTATGTTTTTTGAGAAAAATTATGTTTTGCAAGTTTTTTGCACACAGTTTCATTTTTGCAAAGATTTCATCATCTTTCACGCTCAAACTAGTTACAGAAGTTAGTAACTTCCGCAACTTTACTTATAACTAAGTTATGATAAGTTCAATATAACTAACTTATAACTTTTTTAAGTGTGGTATCTTAAGTTATAAGTTCTTTAACTAGGGGGGCCCCATGGTGCAGCGATGGAAGCGCGGTCGAGTGCCGATTTCGTCGAAGGGGCTTTGAGGATGGCGCGCTCGTGCGAGGGTCCGATCGGTGACGCTTTTCAGGGGAACGAGCTGATGCTGGAACAGTTTTGGACTTTAGCCACCTCGGTCGAGAAGGCGTATTTCGAATCAACAGCTGTTCAGCTGGGGTTCGGACTTTGTGAGGCTGTTTCTGCCCCGCCAGGTCCGAGGCCGCTCGACTCTCTGAGAAAGAGAGCAGCGATCGCGAATCTTTCGAAACCAGCAATCTCCCAACCAAAGAAGTCTA